CCTTCCCGATTTATCTAAGTTTGTTGTTTATGAATGATTTATAAAATATAGGAAATGAATTTGAACGATGGTTTGGGTACTATATTTGTTTGAAAGCAAAGGAGATGTTTGTGTACAACAGGGGCAGTTGTACTTTCCTAGCGCCCTATCTACTTTTTTGGTTGTTTGTTTCCTATTCTTTATTTTGTTATTTGCTTAGCTATTAAAATAATAAAATTAAAATTAAAATTAGAAAAAGGTTTCTTTTCAATTACAATATTTCCGCTCATGTTTTATTTTTGTCATAACTAATGTTCTCCGCAACCATAATTTCCCTCATTGATTTTTATTCTTATGGTCCAACTCACTAATCAAATTTTGATATTGTTTTAGAATTAGTTAGAAATTGAGCTTTCATGCAACACTCTAGGAGTTTGGGGTGTTGAACTTGGAATAGAAGAGTTGGGATTGAGTTTGAGAATGGAAGTGGTGGGGGAAAAATCAACTGCAAAAAGTTAAGGCAGAGAAGAGGGAGTTGATGAGGCTAGTGATCGAATTAAAGAGGGTAATGAAAGACGCAGAAGCAAAACTCGAGGAGTTGAAGAGAGAGAAGTAAGAGATGATGAGGATATTAATGAAAATGGAGAGGGTATTGAAGGACATGAAAGTTTAGCGAAGTAGCTGAAGGCAGACAAGGGGGGAGATGAGCATATTGATGGAATTGGAGATGAGTTTTGGTTTTAGCGAACATATTAAAACTGCCCCTGAGGAAGATGAGTTGGCAAAACACAGGAAGAGGATTGAGAAGTTGAAGAGCGAGTTGACAAGACCCCAATTGGAAGAGAAATTGATGGTCGCAGAGAGAAGGCCCATCAAAGTAACAGAAATAGAGTTGCATAAGGATTAGAAAGTGAATGTTTGGTTGAAACATATGATTCTTCAGATTGAAGATAGAGTATGAAAAAAAATTGGTCGTTCAATGAAGAGTGGTGGATATTGGATCTTTAGGTTTATGGTTTTTACAGCTACCACAACATATTTATATCTTAAAACGAGGAATCATTTATTGATTTAATGAAGGAGGTCGATTCTTTATTCAACCTACTTGAACTGATAGATAAGGAGTGTCTAATTTTACGTCTTATTAATTTGATCGAGTCTATTAGTATATTGGAGGTAACCTAATTTTGTCGTTTGCTCTCAAGTTTTGATGGTCCCCTCTTAGCTGAGTTGTTAGTATATAGTTGACTTGAACATACAACTCTCGATTTCTTTTTGATTAGTGGCATATTACCCCCAAAATGAGAGCATTGAACCATTTATGTAGGATTGTGAGGTTTTAGATTTGAGTTTTAAAATATCTATGGGTCGTGTGGGAATTCCAGTGAGCTTTTATGCTCCATCTTTCTTAACAATCAACTAACTAATAACATTTTAACTGGGCTTAATTATCATCAGGAAAATGAGATCAGTGATACATTTTTATATTTTATATTTTCAAATGATGATGATATTTCTCTGAATGTTCGACCTATACATTCTTTCTTTATGTATCATCCCGATCGAAAGATTGTCAATAAAATTATATAGGTTGATAGACTTTAACATAACATAAAAAATATAAAAAATCAAATATAAACATTCCGGCCAACGGGCCGGGTTATAAGCCAGTTTATATAGTTATTGACTTCGGTATTCACGGAGAGGGGACCTTGACCTAGCAATCCCTTGGACTAAATATTATATTTCAAAACACTCCAAAACTTATCATCATTATATTAAGAATTATAGAAAGAAACTTTGGAATAAAATAAATTTATAAATGAGCTTGAGAAAAACACATTTCAAAATTAAATTGACGAATAGTTCGTGAATGGTTGTCTAGTAGAATATATTGGAAAATATTTGGTAAACACTACAATCAGTGAATATATTTTATAATATTTTCACAAGATGAAAACACGTCATAATATTTTGTTGTAACTTGTACTGTATTGATATAATATTTCCCGTTAGGAATCATATATTATTATTTTTGAACTCGACCTAACCCAACATAATGGATTTGTGCATTAAACCATAAGACTTTACCCATCTGAATTAGATTTAGGTTTCATACATTACCCAATTAGATTAAAATACAAAATAAATCATAAATTTTGACAAAATAGTCACCCCTAATCACCCCATACTCTTTAGTGGTCCAAGTAAGTTCTACCATGATAAAAACATAGAAGTGCTATTAAACCAAATGGCTAATACCACTACAACACCCAAACTATCCGGAAAATGCAATTTGTGCTCTATTGTTTCCAATATTCCATTCATGTCATGAATTATTATATTTTGTGTCATTTGTATCCTGCCAATTTCGTTGACCGTTAAAGATAATAGTTGACCAAACGGCGGTCAACTTAACATTGAATTTTTGCTTACGTGGCAATGCCAAGTCATTGACACCTCACATTTTTAATTTAAATTAAATAAAACTTTGAAAATAAAAAAAAAATTGAAATTTTTTTAAATTCAAGAATATTTTTTAACCTAAAATTAATATTATTTAAAAAGTAACAACAATAAATTGATATTAAAAATAAAATATAAATTGCTCTTTAATCTCTTCCCTTCTCTCCGCCTCCGTTCTTCCTCTTCTCTCGACTGCAAAATGTGCCTCTTCCGCCACCGCCATAACAATCGCCACCAAGATCTGAGGATCTTAAGTTATGAACTGAATGTCGAGAGGAGTGGCTTGGGGTTGGGATCCAATATGTCGCCGCCCTTAATCTAAACGTCGCCGCCACAATTCCAATCTCTAGCAATTGGGATTTTCAATTTTCGAGCTTCCAATTGCGTTGTTGATTTGATGCCTATAATTGCTCTGTCCGCCATTTACAGAGAGTTCCAGATTGAAAGGAGAGAGAGAGAGAGAGAGAGAGAGAGACTGGAGGAGGGAGAAGCAGCAGCACAACAGTGAATGCCGGACTGGAGGGGGGGAGAAGCATAGGGATTGGAGCTCGATGAAGTAGAGAAGCAGCGAGAGGGAGTTAGTGGAGGCGATGGGAGAAGGGGAGTTTCTAGGGAGAGGGAGTGAATCTTCGATCTGGAGAAGAGAAGTAGGATCGCCCGTGAACCATCAATTTGGAGAAGAGAATCGGTTGCGGCCACAACCTCGTCCTCCCGACGGACTGCTTCGCTAGTGGCGTCTGCAAGAGCAGAGATGAAGCGTGACTGACGAATCTAGGGTCGGCGCTATCATTGACCTATTCCTCTATTGCCACCGGCAGGAACAGATCTACCATCATCGGTACTCTGAATCACCATTACAGATTGGGGGTGGGTGGGGATTTCCAGATCTTCCTCTACGAGCTCGTCGATTTTGAATTCTTTCCTCCACTAGATCGTGTTGTTCATTTTTGTGAATACTTTCTTCACTTTGAAATCTATAGCTCTCAAGAACTGTCGATTTGAGTTATTATTTTTTTAATTTCCCATAAATTTTATTTTGTTTTCCTTATTTTAATTATTTTAGATGGAAAAATAAATGAAAATTGATAATAAAAATTCCACGTCAGATGCCACGTCAACGATGACTGGATTTTCTGTTAAATACTAACGGTCAACGTCGGTCAACACTAACGGAATAATAGTTCAGGATACAGATGGAATATTGGAAACAATAGGACACAAGTGACATTTTCCGGACAGTTCAGGTGTTGTAGTGGTATTAGCCCTAAACTAAACCATAAAGATCCTATAGTCAGGGGCGGACCCAGAGACACCCCTAAATTTTGAAAGATCGATTATCCAATCTCCGGTTTTATTTACGTATAGACAAAAAAAATTATAATTAATAGTCCGGGACACCCTAAAATTTGAAAGTACAATTATACTACTCTCGTTTGTAGTTTGCGTATGGGAATATACATGGTAGTTTGGATAATTCAAACCCGGACAATACTATTACTAATAAATATAATTTTCATTAGACTACAACTTTTTTGTTGTTATATTCAAAACACCGTGTAATAGCAAACCCAATTCTCTATCTTTAATTATTTTCAAAACCTAACAATTAATCTAATTACAAGCTAACATTAATTTGTATTGATTTTATGGTTGTACGACAAGTGTTGAAAATGTTTTTCAGCTTTGAGTTACATCATGAACAAATTTAGAAGTCAAATATGTGTCAGTTCGTGAATGATTGTCTAGTAAGATATAACGAGACAAATTTGTTGAGCAATGTAGACACAAAGTGTATTTTATAATTTTTTTAGAATATGAAAATACATCATTGACTTTTTTTTAACTTGTACGAGTTTGGTATTTTCTTATTTAAGAATTATATAATTTTTATTTTACTTTATTTTTTTGAAGAGAACACCCCTATTTAAAATTATTGGATCCGCCACAGCCTATAGTGATTACCGTAGGAACCATCCTTGGAATGCAAGAAAGCCTCCTATCTTGATCTTCCTCCCAAGTTCCGATGAGTGGAAAGAAAGAGGGTCCTCCCTTCCTAAATCCCCGCGGCTTCCGTGCAGCGGAGAAGTAAAATATTACGACCACCACCACCACCATCGCCACAGCACTCTGAATCCTGTAAAAGACAAAAACACACAAAACGAAAAACCCTTCGATTGGTTGAGAATGATACATCTTGTGTTTGACCAGACCCTCAACTATTCTATTCTTCGTGACCGATCTTCAAAACGTGCACAAATCGATCCCCCGTGTCTCCTTTATTGCACTTTAAAATGTGAAACCCGATTCCTGGAATTGGCCACAGTTACGTTATTCATGACGGCTTCCTTCAGGAGCAGAACCATCGAAAAGCTGAAAGCTTAGCTGCTTTTCCCCCCGCTGAGATGGATGATTTCCTCTTTGGCAACGAGCTGATCCCGGTCGTAACTGGTCCGGGCGGCCGAGCTACGCCGAACCACTTGAACAGGGGAACGGCAGAGTTCCACGATGGGGGAACAGAGAGGAAGGCAGAGAGCAGCAGCAGAGAACAGTCGTTTCGGCATATGATGACCGAGCGGTTGAGAAGGGAGAGGGAGAAGGAAGCCTACGCTGATCTTCACTCAATCTTGCCCCCTGGCACCAAGGTAAAACTTACTATTGATTAGAGGGGAAAACAAAATTTGAAACTAATTACAGCAATGTTCCTGTCAGAAGCTTGTGAAATCATTTTTCTTTTGTTATGTAATGTGCAGAACGAGAAGAACGCGATCATGCGAGGGGCGATGCTGAGGATCCAAGAGTTGCAGGGGCACAAACAAGCGCTGGAAAGAAGAATCACGGAGCTCCAAGATGCAGGCATTGAATCCGATCAGAGGGAAAGCGACAGCAGACTTACGAAGAAGATAAGGATAAAAGTCGTGAATCCAACATCTGGGTTGGATTCGATATTGGATGTTCTGCATCTTTTGAAGAGGTTGGGAGCTGAAACGACTAGCATCGAGTCCAGGTTTTCGCGTCAGGAACTCGAAGCTGCCATGGATGTAGACACCCAGGTAACTGAATTGGCTGAGAAAGTTTCACTGTTTGCTGAAAAAAATTCATTACTGTACTTATTCACTAATTAACATGGTGATCTTGTTTCGTGGCATGATCAGATGGAGGCAGATGACGTGGAGGAGGCCGTACAAAGATCGCTTTACGATACTGAGAGGAAACTTCTTTCTCGCGGGTCTCCTAGAAGCTGCGTCTCCCAAAATTGACTGCGAAAAAGAAGAAAGGTAAAGTTCGACGCCTGTGGGTTGGTCTGATTCCTATTGTCTTTAAACAATGTAACCACTTCATTGCAAAATGAATATGTTTGCCTATTCAATTAAAACTGTACTGTTTTTACCATCAAGTTACAAAATCGACAGTTATCCAGCCATCGTGCTATATATTTACAAGAATAGAAATGTACTCCAAATTTCGTTCATGTTAGTCTATCTTTATTTTAGGGTAAATGACACATTTGGTCACTGAGATTACTAAATCGTGTCATATTTAGTCACTAGAAAAATTTAATATCAATTTTGGTCACTCGAATTACTGACACAGGTCACATTTGGTCACTCTTCTGTAGCCTCTGTCCAACTCCGGTCACTCGAATTATTGAAAAATGTCACATTTAGTCACTTATATTACTGAAACATGTCACATTTAGTCACTCTCCCAAAAGTTTCCGTCCAACTACATTAATGGAGTTGGACGGAAACTGACGGGAGAGTGACTAAATTTGACCAGTTTCGGTAATTCGAGTGACCAAAATTGATATTAATTTTTTCTAGTGACTAAACATAACACAATTTAATAATCTCAGTGACCAAATGTGTCATTTACCCCTTTATTTTATATCAATTCAAGAATTTCAAAGCATCGAACTTGATTTTGATCGATCCATAACAAAAATATCTACACCAGAAAGGATTCCCGAACTACCATCAACAGATTCCATGCAAGATTCATAGGCATCGGTTGAGGGCAAAACTACACCAGTTAGCAGATGTTGAACACTACTTCACAAGAGAGGCACAACATACCAGCGAGAGACAAAAGGCCCTAAAGCAATGTCTTCATTAGTTAGGACCATAGATTCCATGCTGGAACAACAATAATCCATAGGGGCAACATTCAGACTAACGACCAAAATGAACTAAAAAATGCCGCCATACAACATAATACTGTATAGATCTGAAGATCAAAAGTCATAAGAGACATCCACCAACTAAACTGAGATAAGTATCATCAACATAGATCGTCTTGGCAAACAACAACAGACTTGAGCACTGACAACATGTAACAAAAACCAAACGCTTCACTTGAGAGGGATGAATCTCGAAGAGTGAGTAGCACCAATACCAGGCCTACCATGCTTCACAGGCTTGTACGAGATGGAGAATTCAGCCAGGTAGTGACCAATCATCTCAGGCTTGATTTCGACTTGGTTGAAGGTCTTGCCATTGTACACGCCAATGACGCTTCCGATCATCTCGGGGACAATGATCATGTTGCGGAGGTGGGTCCTCACTGGCTCTGGCTTCTCACCTGCTGGTGCCTCCCTTTTCTGTTTTCACAGCACAGGAATTAAGTTTAGAAGAGAAACATCAAATCACAGCTCATATAAGAACCTGACAGAGTCAACTATCGCATATCACCACATGAAAACGAAGTCATTCATCATATATATAAAATGGAACACACATTCAAATCATAAAATGCTGCATCAATACCAAACAAGTGAAAGAAACTGAATTTGACCCATTGGGGGCCTTGACTAAAGTAATTAGTAAAACAGAGCAGGGAGCCAAATAGATGTAAAACAGTGCTAGGAAATATCAGGCCAATGTATTCTCAAAGATCTGCCTAGAAAATAATCCACAATCCAAATTAGGGTACCCCAATATCTTCTGAATTATCAGGCTACGATGTTCTCAGAGATCTACCGAGGAACTAATTCACAATCAAAATAAGGGTACTCCTACTATCACCATTCTTATCAAATAACATCACAGAAGCTAAAGCAGGCGCCTATTTCTCATGATATCATCAATGCACATTGCACAAACATTTCAAGGTCCGTACAACAAGCCTGATAGTTTTGGGTTCGATTAAATCGCCATTCACCAGGAAGAAAGTAGAGTTAGATTAAAATACTTACCGCCTTGCGCAGCTTCTTGATCAAAGCCATAGGCTTCCTGGTCAGACCTCTCTGGAACCTATCACAACAACAACGAACGAAGATTTTGTTGACATACGCAAATGGTCCTCACAAGTCAGAAACCCAAACAAACGCATTTACACACAACACGAGCGTTACCTTCTGCGAGCACGAGCAGTGAAGAGCTTCACGAGATCATCAGTTGACATATCGAGAAGAGAATCCAAATCCACACCTCGGAAGCTGAACTTCTTGAACGTTCTCTTCTTCGGCTGTTCAGCGACAGCAACCTCTGCCTCCACATCCGCCTGCAAAAAGAAACACACACGGCCGCCGCGGGTCAGATTTGCCGGAAAACTCTAACGAACGACTGGAAATGATAAAAGGAAGTGGACTGGGAGAGGGACTGAGAGGCTCACCATGATTGCAGGTTCGAGAAATGGAGATCCGAAAACCCTAATCGACTGGTTGTGGTCTGCTGTGTAGATCTGCGGCAGGTAGGGTTTTTCGGCAAATGGACGAGAAAGTCGGGATTATATATGACGTGACTGCGGCCCTCGGATTTATCCACGCCCTAGATAGTAGATAGATACATCCAATTGGGGCTTAAAACGCCCTCATAAGAACGCCCCTTTGGGCTTTAAGCTCGGGCCTAACGATATGACCCAATTGGAATTGTAGGCCTGGCCCAAATACCATGAAGTTGGCCTTGTGCTAGGCTGAGTGCCCCTCTTTTCTTTTGCAGTTGCAGACTTGCAGTCCTACATTGTTCCTCCAATCTCTTACACCACAATGGTTTGGAGAATGTAGAAGGGATGCGTTTCTCAGTCGTCTTCTTCATTTAGAAACCTACAGAGGAGTATTGGAGCCTATTTCTTTCACAGAGATGTGAACTTGTAGGGCCCTAGGTTTTACTACATTGTTTCTCATATTCGGAGAGGCCAATAGTCTGGCACACTGAGCTTGATGTGATTTATATATGGGAGAGCAGATGCATAGCAGGATAGGTAGTGGAACGTAAAGGTAGGAACAGAAATATTGTGGGTTGTTGGAGTAACAGAAAGTAACAATGTGGCCGAAGGACTCGGTCAACGTACCAATCTGGGGTTTTGAATCTCATAGTTGGTTGTAGTCCACCTATTAGAATGTAACGGAGGGTTTTGCTGATTAGGGTTTGGGACTCTATGTAATCAAAAAATTACTTATCAACCAACATATTCTAAATTCAGTTGAAGGACAATCTTATTCACTAAAAAAAAAATTATGCTTACCTTGTGGTACCTACCTTGCTAATGCACATAACCACATAAATGCGTCCATGAAAACTCTAGCCCGACTTTCACGATTTACCTTGTAGTAAGGTTATTTCATATTAAACTAAATAACTATAAATAATACATATGGTCAATTTCCATATAAGATAAAAATATTTAAATAATTGAAATTATCTAGAAAAATTGGTATTCAGAAAATTGTGTTCTTTTAAACTCACTCATTTGTCCAATCATGTCATTTTATCAAAAGATAGGATTTAACGGATAACCAAACTATAATTTTCAAAATGCTGGTCACTTACAATTTGCATAACAATATCGTTGCTTTAATAGTTCTAAAAAATAATACAAAGCTAAGAATTCTACATCACATCTACACATTCAATACTGCAATATGCTAATCATTGATATTTGGGTTGCAATTTTAAAATTATCCTTCATTTATAAGATAGACATAAATTAAATTTATTATTAAACTCAAACTAAAATGATCAAAATATGAAAATTCAAATATCAAATAAAAAATAAAGTACTTACTAATGAGTTAAGGGCTAGCTAACAGTAAAGGAAAAGTCATATAATTTTTAGATTTTAGATTTTCAGAATTTGTATTTAAGAAGATACAAAACATTTCTTTAGTGTTATTGGTAATGGTTGTTGTCTTTGCTTGAAAAGATCATGGTTCAAATCCCGAGATTGATGTATTTTTTCTTATGAATAAAAAATAAATAATTATTGTAAATACACAATTACCCTTCCTACTTTCACTCTCTTTACAAGAAATTTGAAATGCTGAAAAACTGCTCATAACTCTGCTATAATATATTTTTAGATGAGTAGACTTTTTGCTATAAACCAAAATATATGCCAACAAAATAAAATGAGTTTAAAGGGTCGATTGCACCAACAGGGGAAAACTCAGAACCAAAACCCCCTCAAAACTCTTTCAACGAAAGCAATGAACAAACCATAAGAACAAGGCCAAATTCACTTGCATAGCCAAAACTTTAACGGTTGTGACAAATATAGCCACTTTTGAAGAAATACCAGAAATAGCCAGAATTTTGAAAGTTCGATGACAAATATAGCCATTTCCGTTACATAGTTTGACGGCGTCAATGACAGCGTTAGTCAAACTAACAGAATGCTTGCTTGGCTGCCAACTCAACGGACACATCATCGACAACTCAACAACACTTGTCACATGAATGCCATGTCATATTTTAATTTAAAAATAAATAAAAAATCATACAAATACAAAAATCAATTCTTCCCTTCATCTCCATCGACCCCACCCCCAATCACTACCACTACCCCAAATCGTCGTCGTTGCTCCTGTCCGTCATTACTGCCAATCTCTCTTGCTACCAGCCAGCGACGATAACCACACCAGCTATGCCCAAAAAAAAAAAATAACACACACACAATTTACCAGGAAATTGCAGGAGGAGATGCAATGAACAAGCATGTTTTCCTATATGCGATGGAGAAGCCAATTCACACACAATCCCTTACCTTCACTTTCTTTTGTTGAGGCAGGATCTGTTTTCCTATATAACTAACTAAGCATTACATCCGAAGAAGGAACAAACAACAACAGCTGCTGCTTATGTCAAAAACGAAAAAAAAATCACACCCTCAATCGGGTATAAAGAATTGGACGAAGCTATCAATTGGATATTAGAGATTTCGCGTTTACCCACACCCATATGCCTCATCCTTCTCTCTGCCTCTGTTGTCGGCGATGGATATTGAAACAAGGAAGATGGCGACTTCTTCTCCCGCATCCGCCAGTGAAACCGAGACCCTCGCAATGGATCCGGCGAATAAGCTCGAAATCATGCGAGATCTGAGGGATTTCGCGGAGGGGCAGGAGCAGATGAGAGATGCTTGATTAACCTCAGGATTCGGAAGAAGGGTTGCTCGAGCGGCGGAAATAGAGGAGGCTCGCGCGGCTTCTACGGGGTTGCTACCGGTTTGACTGATATCGGAAGCAGATCCGGGATGATTTTTTGAATAGGAGCGACGGCTGGGGTAACGCACGCAAGGGGAATAAAGAGAGAGAGAGAGGAGAGGGATTGGAGTAGAGAGAAGTTTGCAAGAAGGTGGAGAGGTTGAGGGCGAGGGAGGCGGCGGTGAATTGGGGGTGGGGTGGGGTTGAGGGCGAGGGACGCTGTGGAAGAAGATGAACAGGTTGGAAAGGGTTTGCAACGCTGTGTTGGTGATGGAGTTTTTTTTAGGGATTTTTTTGTTGTTTTTGTTTGTTAAGTTTATGTACGTGGGGAATACAAAGCTTTTTACCTTTTTCCTAACCTTTTAATATATTTTTTTAAATCCACGTGGAAAATACTTATGCTGCGGAAATCGCCACGTTGGACAATCCGTTAGTCCAGTTCAGCACGTTAACTAACACCGTCAAATAATTAGACGGAAGTGGCTATTTCTAGTATTTCGGCAAAAGTGGCTATATTTGGCAAAATCGTCAAAGTTTTGGCTACACAAGTGTATTTGGCCTAAGAACAACCTTAAACCCAGCTGTCTTGAGTGTCGTCCCTAACAAATTGTCGTGGGAAGCTAATTCCCCTCATATCATCACTAAGGATTCTTTCCAATTCAGTCGGAAGTTCATCTATCTCATAAGTACCGAAGGGATAAACGAGACTGTGCTTCGAGAGCCAGTCCGCGACTCTATTCCTATCGCGATATGTATGAACTAGACGAACAACCCAACTTTGCACTAACATACGTCTAATAGAATTCGGGAGAGTGGCGTGAGGGTGCACCATGTCAGTTCTTTTGTTCAGGAGCTCAATTGCTAGCTGAGAATCTGTTTCGAGTATAAGAAATTGCGTACCCTTTTTCCAAGCTATCTCCAGGTCTTGGTGGATACCCCAAAGCTTTGCTAGAATTGCCGACCCAGTTTTTATTTTGCAGACGAATCCCGCGATCCATTCTCCCTCATTGTCTTGAAGGACTCCTCCTGCTGTGATAATTCGTGGGTTCCCTTGAGCTGTCCCATCCGTGTTTAACTTACTCCACCCTACTTGAGGAGGAGTGACACCAATTAGTTGTTCTTCTCTCCTCGGTTTGGTTAAAGAGTCTTTGATGGCTGTAGCTTTCTTCCACGTTCTCATCCAATCTTTTGCCTTCGAGACAATGTAATTGATGAGGGTGGAGCTGGATAGTCTGGTTGACTTGAAGATGTACTCGTTCCTATGCTTCCAGATATACCAGCAAGTGAGAGCAAAGACAATTGTTTCCAAATTCGTCTTCATCCACTCATCGTGCGCTGTAGAGAAAAATTGATGATGTTGAGAAGCAGGGACAATTGTTTCCCACACTCTCCTGATCTTGGTACAGTCTCGCAGGCAGTGGCTATTGGATTCGATATCCGCATCAAAGAGTGTACATTTATCATCAGAGGTGAGGTGTCTGGTCTTCCTAATGTCATTGGTTGTTAGTCTTCCTTTTGATGATGTCCACATAAAGAGTCGAACTCGTTCCGGGACCATCAAATGCCAAATCATGTTCCAATGGGCCGAGCTGTGACTTTCCTACTGCTGATCTTCAAGTTTATAAGCTGTGGAAGTGGTAAACAGTCCATTAGGCGAGGCTTTCCAGAAGAGGGCATCTTCAGTTGTGTCCAGCGGGTCAAGCATGACAGCTCTGATTCTGTTCAAAATTTCATCAGGAAGGTAGTCAACCAGGTCTTCTATCTTCCAGCCAGTCGCATCACTCCAATAATCTGCAAATGTTCTTTCCTGAGTCTCTTCTGGAATATCCAGCAAAGCTTTGGTAATTAAAGGTTCCTGCAAAACCCACACATCCAAGCTTGGGAACTTCCCTTTGATGGTGCCAGCATTTGTAGTCCCTTCCTTCCTCTCCCATACTTGCTTCTTAGCACCCTTGTCCATAAATTGTCTTTGTGTGTAGCGAGGCTCCAAGCTCCTTTCGCCAACATCGCTTGGTTAGCTCTTCTAGTGGGCCGAATACCAAGGCCACCAAGCTGTCGAGGTTGTGTCAATTGGTTCCAAGCCACCGAATGGAGTTTAGATTTGCCTTCTTCTTCACCCCAGATGAAGCTTCTGTTGTACCTGTCAATCGAATTGCAAACTCCAACAGGAAGTAGTTCAGAAAACATAGGGTAGATTGCTATATTCGAGGTAACTGCCTTGACCAAGGTTACTCTAGCCGCCATAGATAGGTGCCTTATTTTCCATGCAGCCAATTTCTTCTGGATGTTAAGGAGGAGTTCCTTGTATCGAGCTTTCGTAATCCTCCCATTTACAGCATTGATTCCCAGATAACGACCCAGATCTGTCGTGAGCTTGATTCCCTCTCACTTAGTCTAAGAGCTCTTTCTCTTCTTATATTTGGTGAGATGAACATTGCCGACTTGTCGAAATTGACTCTTTGGCCTGAGCTGATGCAGAAATCATCTAAGCATGTCTTGATGATATCAATCTGCTTCCCCTCTGCCTCTGCAAACAAAACAAGATCATCAGCAAAAAATAAATGAGAAATTTTTGGACCATTTTTTGAAAGCTGAAGCGGTCGCCACAACTTCTCCTCAACTGCTTGTTCAATCTTATGGGCCAACCTCTCCATACAAAGAATAAAAAGAAAGGGGGAAAGGGGGTCTCCCTGTCGGACTCCTCTGGTGGGGAGAATCTTATCTGAAAGTTGCCCATTCCAGTTTATCCTCATCTTGTTTCCCTCCACACAGGACATAATTCTGTTGATTAGAGAACCGGCCAGCCCTACTTCCTTCAATGTATCTCGATTGAAGTCCCACCGCAGCCTGTCATAGGCTTTCTCAAGATCAATCTTGATAATCAGTCCTCCCTTCTTCCCTTTTTTGTTCCTAAGAGAGTGAAGGGCTTCTTACAGAATGATAATATTGTCATTCGTCTGTCTGCCCTGGATAAAACCGCTTTGAGTAGGGGCAATGAGTTTCGGCATCAGAGGCTTCAGTCTATTGGTGATTGCCTTGGTGATTGCCTTGAGAGCTACATTGTTCAAACAAATGGGTATGAATTGTTTAGGAGACTCTGGCTGCTCTGTTTTCGGAATCAAGATCAGGGTTGACTCCATAGTTTCTTCTGCCATCTCACCAGTTTCAAAGAATTTAGCAGCCATGTCTGCCAAATTCTTTCCAACGATCGGCCAAAGTTTTTGATAGAATATGACTTGGAAGCCGTCAGGACCCGGGGCGGAGTAAGGCTTCATTCCGAAAATAGCCTTGTGGATGTCGGTTATATGGAATGGACAGTGAAGAGCCAACATCTCTTCCTGCTGCAGTCTAGGGAAAACATTGTGAGGCATACGGTCTTCATAATGCATTCCATCTTCCGTATAAAGAGTAGTTGTAGTGCCGATTTTTTAACCCAAAAATCTTAGAATCAATGCTTGTAGTGAAGAACCTTACTCCTCTGTCTCAAGGCACCGTATCGATTGCATTAATGAGGTTGGATCTAGTTTCCTTTGGAGAAATCTGGCTATGCACCGTATGTAAAGGAGCAGTACCGTTGAGGAAATACTAGGCTTCAATTGTTCTCTTCTCAAAACATATATTATTCATATGCATCTTACACTTTGCTCATATTCCCCGTGTCTTTCCCATGGAGAAGCGTAAGACTTGAGATCGAACAATCAAGAAAAATGAGCTTATGCATTACAATGGTTGGTCGTTTCTTCAGCCTACAGCTATTTGCTAATTGCAGTTGCAGAAATTTACAATTTCATTTCCATACTTCTAAACCTTCCCCATCTCTTCACTTCACTTCACAAGGAGTGGCAACAAACTTCGCCGTTTCATTTCAAGAACGGTTCAAAACAATAAAGCCCCTAGTATTTCAATGGGCCGCTGCCAGTGGACTTTCAATACTCTGCACAACAGTCTTCAGCTCCGTCTGAACGCTGGACCTGGACGGGTCCAAGACGACATCTCTCCAAACCGACCCGGGTTCTTGAACCGGGCTCGGGCTACCATAGAGCTCGTAAACCGATTCCGCGCTCGGGTTCAACCCAGCCACATTGCTCAAGCATTTGAAATCCTCTGGGTCAATCAGCATCTTGTCGTCCCCATCTTTCCTCGCAATCAACTGCATTTACAACAATTTGGCCGATCTCAACGTCAATTTCAACCATCCCCTTAAAAAGCATATCCCAATCCATTTAATTAAACTGATGAATGATTGTTACCTTTGGCGGGCCTCCCACGCTGTTTGTACAATAGAGCCTGGCATTATCCACAATCTCGCAGTAGTTCGGAAAGGCGTCGGCAAATCTCTTGTGGGACTTCAGCTGGGAATTCACCCTCACTGCCCTCCCAGTGATTATAGCTCTCCTGATTCCCCTGACGACGGCTAGATAAGCGTCGCAAACGACGCCGACCATCTCGATTCTGTAGGGTCTCCTCGCCAACGGCGATCCTCCGTTCCCCGTCCGGCCGCCGTCCTGGTCGTCGTCAACTGGTTCCCAGTAGTTTTCGGTGATGGTTCCGTCTTCTTCGACCTTGTAGCCGACCCCCATCCGGTAACGGCGTTTGTGGACGTTACGCGCCATCTCGATGGTTTGGTCCACGAACGGCTCCCAGGACAGGGTGCCGTCCATTACCACGTCGCGCCCTTCGTTGAGTGCCGTCACCAGCAGCGACGACGCCGCGTCGGTTGACGATTGGTGAACCTGGGCGGTGATCCAACATCTATTAGACCACTAATGATTCATTTCCCGAACTTTAGATTATGATCGAGACTTTGTAATTAAACGAATTGTGAAATACTCGTACCAGTTCAGCGGTTCGAATCATGTCGTCGTGGTGGCCCATGGAGTTGAGAGCTTTGTACAGAACGTCGGATTCCTTGAACGCATCCGCCTCCACTACGACGGCGTTTGCTGCTGCGCCTCCCCAAAACGACCTGCACCAGATTGTGGGTGTTCTTGTCAGTTAATTTTATCATGGGTGAAAGTTCCCAAATCAAGATTCAAATGTAATTAATGGCCTACAGATTCGTTTTTTCAACTTACTCTTTGAGGATGTCCTTGATGACGGTGCTCTTGCCGGCTCCCATTCCGCCGCCCATGAGCAGCAGGACGGGGCTCCTCTCGCTGTGGGCCGCCGGAACCATGACGTCATTGTTCCGGAGGGACTCGGTTTTGCCGATGGCTTTCATCTCCTCGACCAGGGTGGAAAAGACCCTCTTGACCTTCAGGCTCCTGCTCATTCTCTCAAATCTTTTCTCCCTGAGAATTTTAGAAACAAAATATATTAATATAAAAATAACAGAAAGTGGTTGAGGGATAGTGCTCAATCATCATACTAAACTAATTAACAAGGTCCAATAGTAGCAGCCACGCTTAAGAGAAGAATGCACACGGATTTGAATCTTCAATATAAAACACAGGCTCAGAAATTCCAATTCGATTCGACCACTTTTTCCCCAATTGAATAAGTCGTTAGGGTTTTCATTTTTCAATCAATTATGGGAGGCAGCTACTAACGTCCGTTTGTTTGGATGGTCAGTTGGTCACAGACTTATGGATAGAGATTGTACATTTTGGATTTTTTCATTTTTTAATATTTTTTCCCCGTCAGCATTGGCCCCCCTTTCTAGAAAAAAGAATGGCATTGGCAAGTACTACTGTACATTCACAGCGCATGAGCCAACAGCTCACTAAATCACCATTATACAATTAAAATAATAATATTGACCAGCGCAGCCGGCAAACCGAGAAAAAATAACAACCGAGGAATTGGATTTGGGGGGGAAAGAGAAGAGGGTGGGAGACCGGCGTCTACCTGGTGGCAGCCATTACAAAGCTTTTGAGCTTCGGCTTCTTCTCCGATTGACCGTTCATCACCTGGGAAAAAATTGAATCACGAATTAGTACAACGGAACGGAAAGCGAATTCAAATTTGACGAGAATTTTCGAAATCTGCAGACAGGGAGAGTAAAATTTAATTTGGGAAACCTACCTGAGAGACGATCGAAGCGGCGTGGTTCCAGTGGAAAGCGAAGTAGCTCAGGATGCATTTCTCGAGTTCCGCCACCATCTTCCCGGAGAGCGATTTCGCCCCTTCGCCGCCGTCGCTTTTGGCGAAGTAATCGTAGATGTTGTCCTCGCATCCCTCGATTTTCCTCAGGTAGTCGTACGCCAGCTTGCACAGCTGCGGGCACTCGCTCGGATCTGAGAACCCTAGCTGCCTCGCCACGTAGTGTGAGAATCTCTCAACCTTCCTCCCGCCGCTCCCGGACTCCGTCGCCGCCTCGTCCAGCCTCGGGATGAGTCGCTTGCTGACTCTCGGCCTCCGGCGGTAGTACTCCGCCGCGGCGGCGGCGACGAGCACCAGGGACGACGCCGCGACTACTCGCGTCAGGACGACCTTCGTGTTGCCGTTTTCTGGACACAAAAAAAAAAAACAACAATAAATTACACGATTCAGAAGAAAAAGTCAAACGGCGGAGGTAGGGGATCGGACGGCGGTGTACCGTTGTTCATCTTCGGAGAGGGCTTTTAACAGGTTATTAATGGTGTGGGATTGATGAGCGGAGAGAGTAAATTGTGATGAGTAATTATTGTGTTCCTTTCAGAGAAGGGACAAGTGCTGGCGAGGGAAGCACAAGCACTGCTCTGAATCTCTGCTATGGCTACGGAAGCAGTGAGTATTTATATTCGTTCCAGTAAGCGAAGGACGATTTCCACGTAGGACTTCACTATCTTCTTCTTCTTTTATTATTTATGAATCTTTTCCTTTTTCTTTATTCAGTAATTTCTCGTCTTTTTTCTTGATTCCCATTTTTTATTTATTTTGCCGATATCCAAAATATTCGAAATAATGTGATAAACGTTCCAATCATACCTATATATCCTATAGAGTATAAACGTTTGAAACATTTTACCAGTCATTTTAGTTTTTTTTATCCTTCTAATAATATTTATGTCTCTTGCATGACAATACTATCGAGCCATTTAAGTCATTTGACACAAGGCATGTATTTTGTTTTTCACCAAGAAAAATAAATAAATAAATGGCGAGACCATTTTTATTTCGTTAGTTGTTGATCCCAAATTACTACTAGACTAACTCTTTGGTGTTAATAATGTAATCAAATTCAATTCACAGAACCCGAAATACAAAGAAAAATGACAGACAACGATGATGCGATGATCTACCTCGTTATGCTTGTTTTAGCCTTTCATTTGAACTCTTATTAGGTTTGTTTAACAAATAAAGGCTAACCAACTCATATGATAAGTGATAACTTGAACAAGAGATACATACATTGTTTCACATTTAAATATTGACTTAACACTTTTTTGGAAGATGGCTTATGTCAATCTCGAGGGTGGAGTTTGAATTTTTTTTTCCATGATTGCTCGATCTCTGAAGAGGTTCTCGTTGACTCTTTTACGCGAGTTATTGCTACCACATCGAGTCATGATACCTACCTAGATGTATGACATCACGACCTGCCCAGTGAGAATGTTTGGGGTGTTTAACTTTGAGAGGGGAAGGGGGGCTAGCTAAGGGAAATTATTTCTCTTTTAAACTTGTTGCACTTAGTGGATGTTTCCAAGGTGACTAGCGGGCCGTGTAAGCTCGTTTGGTCTCCCCAACTAGAACCGTCATTTTTTGTCTAACTTATGTATAGGGTATATGACCAAATATGAGTTCCGGGGGATGCTGCAATTTCCTGGTGATTCAGTCTAGACTCTAGAGGCAAATCATTCCCACGAAGGTATGCCCTTTTGTCTGGATTTTATCTAAGAAGGAAGCTCTTACTCTCGACAATCTCATGAGAAAGGGTAGTTAGTCATTAGTCAATCGATGCAAGATGTGCTAGAACAAGAAGGAGACGATTGATCATCTATTTATCGATTGTGAGATTGACAGGGAAGTCTGTTAAAAGGTCTGCAACAACTTCGATCCTCTTTCACGAGACGCTATATGTCTTGGATACAGAGATGGAGTACTATGCCTTGTTTGATATTTTAAAAAGGTGGCAATCGGCATTATGTAGCCATTTGTGGCGCATCCAACACCTATCAAACTCCTACCAACTTTTCATTCTCTCTTCTCCTTTCCACATAAGAGATTTTATCTTGATAAACTCCTAATCTTCTTCCCCATTACGTGGTAAGTGGGAACTAATTAGTCGTTAAATTACGAGCAGATGGAGTAGTCTTCACCCTTGAAAGTGGATTTCCAACAACGAGATAAAATTATCAACATGGATTTGGAGGAAGGAACACTCAAAAGATCACCACCTCCTCGAAGCTCCTCCCTCGCTTAAACACTTGGACCATGTAAGGTTCTGGTTCGTTTCGGTGTAAATGTTGTCGGAAGTTATTGGTTGGATGACTTGTTGAGTGGGGTCAACGTGTGAAGAGCAATAAAGAACGCACAAAGACTCAGTGCATCCATGTGTTTGCCTTATTAGTCTGCAGACTTGTTGGAATATTTTTTTTTGGGCGGAGGATGCAAATAGAATTGACCCGCATTAACAACAAAAGAAAGGAACTTCCGGTAAAAGCGTCCCCGCGGAACCGGGTCAACCGTTTCGGCAGTCTTCTTTAATTTTCCGGTCGAACTTCTTTCAGCTTGTATTTTTCAAGTCTTTGTAAACGCAGTGGAGAAGACCATGACTACGTAACCTACTTTTCTGAATCTTTTTTTTTTTTTTTTTATGTAATGAACTGCTATATTCTGTATGGTTAGACTTAGGCAGAATGTTGTTTATTTAAGCAAAATGATTTTTTTTCCATGAAGAAGATGGGGTTAAAATGCACTGGTTGTCGTTTAAGTATTGTGTATGTTGCACGCTAATTATCTGATTAGTTTTTGTTGCAACTAAATCACATAAGTCGGATTATGGCTGCAACTAAACCATCTAGATTTGAATTTTAGTTGCAGCATTACAATTTTCATCCACAGATGAGAACTTTTTTTTGGTAAACTTTATGAAATTTATGGTTAGTTTTGACCTTTTTGGGTCAGATTTATGAGTTTTGTTGTGTGGTGAACCTTTTATATGTTTTACGAGTTTTTTTGGTATGCTTTATGTGTTTCCTGGTGTGATTTGTCGCATTTTTGTTCCGGGTTTTCTGGTATACTTCATTATACTTGTGCTCGTTGTCAGTTAAGGACGAAACGCGGAATAGATGAGCAGTACGTCAGTACCACATACGTGTTGCTATGATAAATTTTTTTAAAAATGACAAGCGCGCCCCTTCTTTTAAAAAATCAACATTAAAATGCGGTCAATCCCTTCGACATAAAAAGTAAGCAAAATGAAAACCTTCTACTGATTGAAGTTAGTATTAACACCATTCTAATTTACCGGCCAGCACCCTAACTCCAGCCAATTTATCAGCAACCGAAACGTTTCCAGGCTACTATTTATAAAGCTAGAAATGGATCAGATATGAATGCCTACAAACTACAAAGTGTTCATTCAATCTTAATCAGCTTTGCAATTGATTAGCACTTTCGCAGCAAAGTTAGGTAACATCTTTTCCTCAATGGAGAGTGGTCGGTCCTAATTTCCATGATTGTGTTTCTAGAAGAAATAGTTATCAAATTCTACTCCTGTATGAACGAAATTGCAGTATTGTCAACAAAATGAGGTCAGAATATGTAGATAGAAGGAGCAGACTAAGAAAAACCATCGCCGTTCTGGTAGGTCAGCGCACAAATCCTGCCGCGGTTGAACTTGAAATTAATATATCTTCCTCGGCATGAAAATGTTTTAACGTTATTCAGGCCCTAGAGCTGGTCGCAGCTAACCCAGCTTTAACATGCTAAGAGGGACTAAATAGAGTGCTATACCCTCTTTTAGAGTTAGCATCATCCTAACATAATTCAGAAAGGAAACCATGGAAACTACCAGAGTTGAAAATTCATTCCCATTTTTGAATTTCGATTAAACTAGAAATCGATTTGTTTGCAACCGGAAACCAGATGCTATTAATCCAATCCAGTCTCCGGTAGGAATGGCAATGGGGCGGGTTTGCCTAAACCATCTCCATCCCCATCTTCAAATACACAAACCCACACCCGCCCCATACCCATGCGGGGAAATGTTTTGCAAACCCATCCCCATACCCGTGGGTTTCGGGTACCCATGGGTAATACTCATACCCGTACATCCAACATTATTATACCTAAAACTTACAAGAAAAGTTTTAATTATAACTCTAAACGAACATATTATAAAATGAAGTCAACAAAACACAATCATTTTTTTAATATGGTTCAAAGAATATGATCCTAAAATATCCATTAATACATAATATAGAGTATAATATTTTTCAAATTATTTTGTTCTAACTCTCATACATCTACTAAGTAATAATTAACTAACATAATCTTGTTGACAAGGGGGAAAGTGAAAGAGTGAAATGAGAATTGAGAGAAATGAATTAGGTTTTGATTAAGATGGTCACTCAATTGCATTTCTACTATTTATTTTCTCAAGTTATCCTCATCATCATTGATAGACTATAATTTAATGCACATATTTTTTTATATATGAAGAAATTCTCTTGATGGGGCGGGTATGGGTATGAGTATGGGGCGGGGGAGGCTAAAACCAAACCCGCCCCATATCCATCAAACTTTTTGCGGATTTTACCCATACCCGGTCAAAGCGGGGATTCCTCGCATTGACTGGATCGGGGGCGGTCGGATACCCACGACTACGGGTTTGATTACCATCCCTAGTCTCCGATCATGATCATGCTCATGGGGAAAATCGACTTGGTTTGATCAAGTTAAGAACCGTGACCACTTAAACATTACAACAAGCCCAGCCCACCACCCACAACAAGCCCAGCCCGTAAATCCATAGCCATGCAGTAGAACACAACTAAATAAGGCCCGACCCCAAGGAAGAGAACATCCTACTAAATCTAACATAATCGCTTTCTACATGTGCAATTGTTTACCACTAAAAAATCACTCAATACCACATTGATTATTTTCAAGGAGTGGTAGTGATTTATAAGACCAACTTAACCATATTAATTAAATTGGTATAAGCTGGGCCTAAATGATGGTATTTTGGGCTTCATATCAGGTACCTCAACTCAACACACACCACTTGACCCACCAAACACCCACCCGTCACGCAAAAGGGGTATAAGACCAACTTAACCATATTAATTAAATTGGTATAAGCTGGGCCTAAATGATGGTATTTTGGGCTTCATATCAGGTACCTCAACTCAACACACACCACTTGACCCACCAAACACCCACCCGTCACGCAAAAGGGGTCAAGTGCCAAACGTGTTGACACCCTTCAACATCAACCACCCAAGTCGGCATGGTGGGGGCAAAAGACCCAACCACCAGGGGGTTCAAGCATGATGTCATGCAAAGAGGTCATCACGAGACCCCTGGACGTGATGTCAAGCACCGGATACCGCTAGTTCTCGTGCAAGGTCATCAAGTTTCTAAGTGGTCAGTCATGTATATCATCACGTGGTAGACCAGTTTGTCAAGACACTGCAAGCATGATGCCACCCCTACCACCAAGTGGCAAGCACGTAAGATAGTCAATGTGTCAAGCAGGCTACATCAAGTACCAAGCATGGAAGGTAGCAGTTACAAGAGGCAGTTACATGGCGATTA